TTACTCCAGACTCCCATATCAATGCAAGCTTATGATCAGTGTTAGCACTTTCAAGTTCTCATTAGTATCACCCAGCTAAGAGATCATCCAGGCAAGTGGTCGTATCCATGGGTAATCGAAAGTTCTCCTCTATCAAAATGTATAAGTCATTGAGACATCATCTTGGAGCACATCAGCTCTTCCATGGGTGTGGAAAAGTGCACATCAACTCTTCCAATCGGTTTTTGGACAAAGAACCCTCGTGCATGCATTGCGATCGGGCGCAATAGCCGACGGCGTAACGGGGAGTGCAGGTTTTTTGCGCATGATAGCTGGTTTAGTAGCCGCCGCATTCCCCTTAAAAAAAAGTAGCCACCGCATGGGAGAGCCGATATGCATCGCTGCTACCTAGTTGCATTCGAAATGAAACTTCCGGAGAGATAGGAATAGGATAACCACCAAAGTAATTAAAGAGTAGAATCATAGTCTAAGAGCATTAGATCTTTTGTACTGGGTAGTATCATAGACGCGTAGTATGTATATCATACTAGCCTATGTTACTACCTAAACATTGCATAGTATCATAGAGTGAGTATCTTATTTATTTATTGTAAGAGAAATTTTTGATCTATTCTTAATCAATCATGGTAGTATAGAGAACGCTAGAGGTAATACAAATTATAAGTCAATGGATCATCTAGAGATGACTACAAGAACCGCAACGAGCCAAAAGCGCGCCACAGCTATTGTCCCTCCCTCATTGGAGTCGGGCAAACCTTATTGTGGTAAACAGTCAGAAAGTTATCAGGCTAAGGCCCCAAAGGATCACTGCACCAGAGCAGCAACCATCACCGATGAAGAGAGTCGTAGATCTAAAAGATCAAACCTATAACCACCGGAACAAACACGAATGGAAGTTGGATCCCGTGAGATCCAACACCAACGGAATCCCGTGAGATCCAACAGAGACACACTACCACACGCCTTTCGACTATGCTACATGCACCATCAGGGCAGGGATCGGACGTGGGAGACATTATTCCTACTAACGAACATCGCTACTGCCACACATCCCAAACCAAGACATTAGTCCTAGCAAAAAAGAGATTGGGGTCCCTCAAGCCGGTGATGGGCAGAGATCCTCTGCACCTCCACGGCCTAAAGTCCATCAGAGGTGGGGAGGACTGCTGGTGGCAAATTGAGTTCCAATCTAGCATTGCTCTGATTCAAGTGCAATCGATTGAGTTTGAATCAAATCAAAATGGATTGGATCAAATAAATTCTAACTAAATCCAATCCAGACCAATACAACTAATGACTGCCGAAAGTATAGCCCAAAACTACACAAAAACCCAAACTACGAACGCGAGCACGGGCAAAAACTCAACACTTTCGGATCACGGGTGTTGATGCAGGGGTCCCGCCGACAATGATGGGCTGGCCATAACTATGGCAGTTGCCATGGTCCCCGTGATGCGCGGGTTAGAGGATGAGCGCGTCGTTGTTCAGTTCCCTCGCCTTTACACAGGATGAATGGGAGAATACCCTCGAATGTGTGGGGGGGGGGAGACCCTACCCACCTAGGCTGCCTTCGTCATAGCCGTTTGGGTTCGCACCTCTAGGGTCGTCGAACCCAAGATGACTAGGTCCAACATCGGGAGCGAAACCAGAGCACGAATTGCGTGTGGGGCAATGGGCGGTGCATGCAGCATGGTGCCATGAGGTTCCCACCAGAAGAGGCGAGGCCGCCAACCCACCTGTCCTGGATGGTGTTGCTCTCGGCGACGATGGGTGGTGGGGTCCGCGTGCCCGTGGCGCTGACATCGGAGACATCAGAGGGGTGGTGTGGGAGAGAGAGCGAGTCTGGTGTGAATGTGCATGAGAGGTGACTGGTGAGAGGGGAGGACTTACGAGACATCTCTGTGTCTCCCGCGCTTCCCAAGCCGTCCAGGCAACGGGCACGTGTGGCTCGAGCTAGCAGGCCCAAAGGTTCTTTAAGTTTCGTGTGGGCCGAGAATCTGATTCAAGACAGGAAACCAAATAGGCCATTTTCATCCCGTGCGGGCCTGGTAGACCTGTATGTGGAAAAACAAATGCTCCGTTAGGAGGTAGTTAGCTTTCTTTCCTACTTTATAAAACTAACAAAAGTTTATTTTTCGGAAAATATTCATGAAGTTCGGGGTCAAAAAAATTATCTGAGAAATCAAACATGCATAGATTCAAAATGCATCGGCGACTAACTAAGAGCATCTTCAATAGATCATGTAGTTGTATAAATAACTGAATTTTACATCACCAAGGTCCAAAAACCAAGCTCCAACGGATGATGTAGATGCAATTTTACTACACAGGATTTGCTCCAGATCTCACAAAGGGAACTTGGTGATGCAAATTTGCATCACCAGCTGTGGCCCGAGCAAACTTGCAGCCGTCCGTACAAATGCCCAACAACCTCGCTTAAAGTTCCTGTCGCCCTCCTGCCTACCTGCCTTCCGTCGCCTACCATTAGACCCGATGGCCAGCTCCCCCGACCACGGGGCTGCAACTGCCACTCCGCTATACCTTGCAACAGCCGCCTCCGTGTCTCCCGCCGTTCCCGACCCTACCATCGCTGCCATGCCTACCCCATATCGGCGCGGCGGCGGATGTGCAGCCCACGTCCCAGGGCCGCCGCCAGACTGGAAGCACTAGCGAGCAAGAAGCCTATCACGGCCAAACTACATTGTGGCAGCTTGAAGAAGCCACCACACAACAGAAGAAGAGAAAGGCGGTCATGGCAACCGTTGTTGTTTCGATGTCATCGATGCCCGCGACTGTTGTTGCGGACGAAGGCGTGCCTACTCCCCCGCCATCACATGCCCCGCCTCCGGCTATGTAGGAAGAGTTGTCGACTCTCGTGGCCATCGTCTCCAACATGCTCGACGAAATGTCCAAAATGTAAAAAAAATCTCATACCATGGATGGGTCACAAGCCAATGTTCATAATGTGCCAAGTAACAACGGCGAGAATGAAGGCGATGATGATCTTCAAGCCAATGTTGACAACGTTCCAAGTGCCAATGGAGAAGATGCTAGTTGAGAGGCCATGTTTATGTTTATGTTTAGGTTTATGTGCACATCTTATTCGTTGGATCATGAACTTTGTTTGCCAACATACACTATGAGACAATAAATTTGCCATGTTGATGTTGAGTTTGACATATTGATCATTATGTTTGTGATGATCTTGCAAAATTTTGGATGATTCTGATTCAAAGATGTGCTGCTGTACTGATGCTGTTGCGCAGCTTTCGTGCGGCTGGCTATTTTTTACATCATCTATTGGGGTGGCTGCCCTCTTGTACATCATCTGTTTGAGTTTGACGTCTTTGGTGATGTAAACATGCACATTTTGGTGATTTATATTTTACTCCAACCACTTTTTTGGTGATGTAAAATGCATCATCTATTGAAAATGCTCTTAACCACTAGCTAGCTATTTCGGTGGACTCACCTCATCATGGAGTCAATGCCCTGCCGTAGTGGAGTAACCTGTCAAATTAGGAGCGGTCAGACCAATGTAAATGCAAAACTATGCCTTTGTAATATCATCTATGGTCCTTTTGGCTTAATTATGTATGACCAAGCAATTAATTTTTGATTGTGCACTATCATCTGCTGTCCTTCCAAGGGACCCAACATTAATCTCTGTCTAATATTTTTTTTGCGAAATCTCTGTCTAATCTGATAATTAGACTATGCCAACGGCAATGTCAAGGTCTGTGAGTACTCGTCGCTGATTCATTCAGCTGCAAGATTGGGACTTTGTGATATCAGGTACCGTTCTTTTGTCTTTTGGATGGTCGATCGGCACCAAGCATTCAAAAGACACTACGGCGATTAATTTTGATTTGTTGTATCATCCGCCGTCCTTTTGAGGATCCAACATTAATCCACGTCAAACCTGAGCATTAGATTATGCAAATGTCAATGCTCATATCCTGTCAGGTGTCCCCAACGATATCACGTGACGATCTATTAACATTATTATTCTACAATTTGTAAATACTATTGTTCATGTAAACTACCAGGGTGACCACTCATTTGCACTCCTAGATATGATACATACTAGTATATTATTATTACGTATGTTTGCACCATAACAAACTGTTATTATCGCTATATACTTCATAAATCAATCAAACCGGGGAATATCTATGTCTCTAGGAAAGTTGATTAGACTATAATATTGGAAATACGATCTTTTGCTGTGTTATCACCAGCCAAGCAAAACCATAGACTTTCATTGACTATAATATTTTTTCTATTAAGCTGGTCAAGCCATACTTTTTTTTTATCAAAAGAAGGATAAAACCCCCGGCCTCTGCATCTGACGATGCATGCAGCCATTTTATTAATTATTCACAAAGACCATACAAAGTAATACATCAGTCAGCCTGAAGCCACCATCTAGGTAACACCTGTTGCTACCCCTATTTCCTTGATGAAGTTGTGCCGAATATCTGGGACAAATACCAAACGGACATCGCACTAAACCCTAACATCTATAGCCGGATGCCCCTGCCCAGCCACACACCGGGACTGGGTCCATACTGGCTCGGCGCACTCTCATAGGCTGCTGCCGCCATCTTCCACCGGTCCATCTTCAGAGCAGGAGCTGACGCATCGACTTTGCCTGGCCTGCCATCGACGCCAACACGGCGCCAGACAGCTCCACCATCCTGCACATATCCATCTACACGCGCCCGTCGCCAAACTTCCGCAGCGCCATGCCACCGGGATCCGTCGTCGGCCTTGCAGTGAATGCGACACCGCTCCTCCACTTGTCTCGTCCAACCAGCATTTGCTCCAAAATGATGCCCCATGAGGGATAACGGCATCGAAGGTGCCATCATCGTCCGATCAGGTAGATCCAGATCTAGGGTCCCCCCAGAGCCACACGAGTGGGGTGCCATGACCAGCAACAATGATGCCTCGAGAAGGGAACAATTAATGAATGCCGTGGTAACTTGCAGCTCAACATGTTACTCTGGGAGACATTGAGGCTCTATGGCCCCATATCATTCCTGCAGAGGAAGACAGCCTCAGACACAATCCTCACACATGTGAAGGTGCCGAAAGGAACGATGATAACGATACCTCTGGTGATGTTGCACCAGGACAAAGAGGTCTGGGGACCCGACGCCGACGAGTTTAACCCAATGAGGTTCCAGAATGGCTTCGCGAGAGCCGCCAAGCATTCACATGCACTGCTGGCCTTCTCGTATGGGCCTAGGGTCTGTGTCGGGCAGAACTTTGCCATGGTGGAGGTGCAGATCGTCATAGCGACGATGCTCAAAAGTTTCTCCTTCTCCCTGTCCCCCACTTATGTGCACAAGCCGAGCAATTTCGTCACATTGACGCCCAAGTACGGGCTCCCTCTCATCGTGAGGAACCTGCAGCTGACTAGGTGATTGTCTTGTGACATGACATACCGGAGCCATGACCCTATAGTTAGATGAGACTTGGGTGTACAAATGTACATCCGTTATTTCGTCAAAAACTATCTATGCTTGGGTATAATTCACATACGGAACAATATACATGAAATCGATTAGAAGAACTTGAGAAAAACTGTGTTTTTATCGCACTGTGTAATCTATTGTTTAGATACCGTTATCGCAACTGACGGGACCTGTATATTGTGATGTGTCTTGTACTACACCATACTGTACTAAATAAACTAGGCCACTTTCGCATGTATTTGTGACGCATGGTTTTCTCACCATTGTTATTCCTCCAAGCTACAAATATAAATAGACTAGGATGATGTCGTATGTTATCGATTATTCATTGTTGTCTATCTTTTCATCAACAACAAAAGAATTTAAACATATATGAGTATCTTCTAATTCTATCTGGTGAACCATAATATGTTCGCAATAGAACCGAACGGCCTGAATGATGTCTGATATAAATCGCGCAGTTACACCCGCAAGCCCAAGAACCACCTGACCTAGGGTAATGTTTGTGACAAATGTTACATTGTTGTTTATTTCTCTATCACGCTGAAATATACTTCTCTACAACATCTGCCTTCGAAATCCAGAACTTCATGCTAGACTTTTGGCAGACCCTGAATATTTTTTTGCTGAACTGCACCCACTCCTAGGGATTCAACAAGGTGCTACGCAATGAAGATACATACAATAAGGACTGCCTAATGACAACAAAGGATACAACTTCTATGCTTTTTAATGAGAAGTTGGGCAAGAACTGGTGGCTGTTTTTGTAAGGTGTCTGCCTTTGACCTGGCGGACCCATAGCTGAAGAAGGGCTTTATGATGTTTAATCTAGTACAAACTAACATAGGTATACTGCTAACTTTATTTGTGTAACTAACGTGGTAATATGCACCCCACAAACTTAATAACCTACTTACAAACAAAGTGGTAACTTTGGTCCGGGTAACTTATGTGTAAATACGTGGTAATATACACACGGTAGACCTCATAGCTGATGCACAAAAACTATGATAACTTTTGACCATGTCAAACGTAGTTGCTGAAAACATACCCACGGCAACTTTTGTGAAAATAGTATGGTAATTTACGTACCGTAGAGCTGATAACCCATGTAGAAACACTGGTACATTTTGACAGGGGAAAGAAATTGTTCAAAAACATGCTCCTGATAACTACTATGTAAACAACATGGTAATATACACACCTTAGACCTGATCACCTATGTACAAACACTGTGGTAAATTTTTGATCCGTGGAAAAAGTTGCCAAAAACATACCCTGATAAATTTTGTGTAAATAGCATGATAATATCCGCAGTGTGGACCTGAGAAAGTATGTATAATTACCGTAGTAAATTTTGTTCTATGTAGATATCATGGTAATAGATGCACTGCATACCTGATAACTTACATTTGCATACCGTAGTAAGATTGGCCAGGGATTTTTCTTGACAAACGCATCCGCCGATAAATTATGTGTTAATGGCATGATAATATATGGACCATAGACCTAATAACATAAGTACAAGCACCGAGATAAGTTTCGACCCGGGAAGAAAGGTGAAGAAAACATACCTCGATAGCTTCTATGGAAAAATGATGGTAATTTACATCCAACAAGCATGATAATTTACATAGCTCATGTGTGGTAACTTTTGACCTAAAAACATCAAAACACATCAACATGAGATCTAATTTCGAAGAATTGATCGCAATATATTTAATGGTGAAACTGTATCTTGAATTATACCGACAGAATGAGCTACAAAAACAGATTTTGAAATGGATCATCATGGCAGATTGTAGTAACTTTGATTCAGAGAAAACAAGTTCTTGATACTTAGCCCCGATAATTTCTCTGTAGATAACATGGTAATTTACACATTGCATGGCTGTTAAACTTACTGACAAAACACTACGGTAACTTTGACTCCTGGAAAAAAGTTGATTAAACAAACCCTTATAATTTATGTGCATATAGCTTGGTAATTTACACATGGTAGATCGCGATAACATGTTTACAAAAGCATGGTAACTTTTGACCAGGTGGTAAACCTGATGTTAAACATACTAAGTCATTTATGCGTTAATAGCATGGTAATTTACCTATCACAGGCCTAATAAATTACCTACAAAGACCTTCGTAACTGTTTATGTTGAGAACAATGTATTTAAAACATATCTAGTAGCTTCTGCGTAAAGATTATCGATCTTTTGTTGGGAAAAACTCATAAAATTACCTTTCTTTGTACTAGTGGTAAAAAGGGTTTAGAATCATTGATTGGATCCAAAAGAACAACAACAATACCTTTATTTGTTGTATATTGTACTTAGTACATGCATCTGTCTACCGTGAGACTAGGGTTTGAATCCCCAGAATTTTATTTTCTCTCGCATTGGTTTTCGGGCAAATCTCTGTTAGAGTCGAACAAAAAAGTGGGTCATCGAAGGAATAATAGCAACAAGGGGATCGTTTGAATCAGTCGCTAAAAATGGAACATTCGCTAGGTATCAAGGTCCACCTAATTATTGTTTTCCCTTCTTACACAATCTCATTGCTGCTGTATGTAGTTTTATTATTTTATTTCTTTTGTGTCATGCTTTGAGATATTTTCTTGTATGGTCCCCTTCTAATATCGGTTATAATTTGATCACTTCTGATATGGCTAAACCTGAGCGTAAAACAAACTCTAATCTAACCAATATTGTCGCACGGTGATCTGTGCGTGATTTATTTTCACTTATTTGGTTCTCCCTATTGAAAGTAACATATGTCTTCAAACTTTGCAAGCTAACAAAATATTAGAACTAAAATGTGAACAAAAAACAAGTGAATTTCTTATTCAGCATAAATATATAGTTAGGATTTATTACTATGAAATATTATTTTATGTAGTTACGATGCGCCAAAAAAATAGAATTTTTTTTCCGCACATTGTAGTTATAGTATTTTGGTGACATGCAAAGTGTCAAGTCTATGTGTTGTTTCAAGTCATATTGTAAAGTTAGTTGAAGGGGTACATATTACACACAGGTTTATATAGAAGGGACATTTACATTTATGCCCCTAATTTGCGCCCACTCTCAGATTTGCCCCTAATTTCGAAGTCTGCTCAAATTTACCTCTCCGCCGTTAGATGCCCTTAAAGAAATGCCCTTCTGCGCTGTTACCGTCCATTCAAAGACGGGCAAAGGGCTTTGACCATCCTGAAAAAAATATAAAAATATATAAAAAATCTGAAATTTTGTGAGATCAAAGATACTAGGGTTCGCAAGACCCGTGCAAACTTTTGTGCTGTTTGGACATTCCAGGAGCTCGTGTCAAAGAAAAAACAGTAGATATGTACACTTGTGAACAGTAAATTCTTAAAACTTGCAAGAAAATTCAAAAAAATATGAAATTTTTTGGCATCAAAGAGGCTTGGGTCTGCAAGGTGCGTGCAATTTTTTGTTGTGTTTGGACACAGTAGGAGCTCGTGGAGAAAAAAAAAATTGGCTCAGGAAAAAACTTTGGAAAAAATAACTATTTTGTTTTTTTTGCTAGAGCTCCTCGCATGTCATTTGATCACAAAAACTTGCAAGCACCTTGTGCACCCAAGCCTCTTCGATGCCAAAAAATTTCATATTTTTATAATTTTCTTGCTATTTTATTTCAAATTTACTGTTCACAAGAGTACATATTAACTGCTTCATATTACACCCAGGTTTAGCCACATCGGAAATGACCAAATTATTTTACCCTGCCAACTGCTTCATATTACACCCAGGTTTATTTAGAAAGACCACAAGTTCTGGCCGTCCCTTCCTGCCGTGTAGGAGGCGCGAAGGCGGTGAGGTCTCGTTGCAGCTGCTGGTGGCTTGTCCTGCCTGCTGGCCACTTTCCCTTGCGATGGTTCTCCTCTTGCAGTCCTGGCCGCCGGTCCGTAAGACCAAGCTGTCGAGGATGGTGTGGTGGAACCTTGGAGATGCTATCACTGCCGTCGTAATGTGAGCCAACTCCCGGGAGCTCGATGGAGACAGCTGCTCTCACTTCCTGTTTTTGGACACCGGCAGAACTGACCGCGGCACAAGAACCAGTGTTGCTAATCATAATTAATACTCACAAGAAATATGAAGCAGTTAGCAGTTATCTAGGTCATCAACATCAGTGCAGAATTTCAGACTGATCAATGACAATGAGCTATTCCCTCCGTCTAGGTTGTGCACCATGACCAAGGAGGAGGGGAAAATGAGAGACTTTAATGTTTATTTGCTAATTAATAGTATTGCATGCAATGAACTAACCACTGCATGTTATGTTTGGTAGCCTCAAGTCATTAAAAGCATGCACACTCCTCATCTCTTATTGGTTGATATGTCAAGAAACAAGAAACGAGGTAAAAATTAATGCATCGCGCCTTAGTGTTTTGGGATTATTTGGTTTCGTAAGATGACTTACACACCTAGATGGACGGAGTACGTGCCTACATGCCAATAACCCTGGCCATCGATCTACCCAATTGAAAGGAATGGAAATGATTAAGCAACTGCATGTTGCTGCCTTTGTCAGACTGCTATAATGGAGTCCCCAAAAGGACGGCAGATGATTCTACACATCATAATTATTCGCCATGATATTTGTTCGTTGCTCAGTAACACGGCAACGGGTGGTGATTATGATCGCCTGCCTTCTCTCTTTGGACCACTCTACTCTTTAATTCTTGTGATGAATTTCTCATGACACGGCCGCAGCAACGCTGCCACTGGTAGAAAAAAAGGCTTCCATCCAGCCCCATTAGTCGCGAAACTGTAGGAACCGCGACTAATGAAGTCTTTAGTCGCGGTTCGGCAGACGAACCGCGACCAAAGGCTTGGGCCAGGGCGCTCGGTGGCCAGCTGGTGCACGTGAGGGGCTTTAGTCGCGGTTGGCCAGGCCAACCGCGACTAAAGGTGCCCAAAGGCCTTTAGTCG